GAAACGGCCACCGTCCTCATTTCCTCCGCCGCAGGAGCCGGAGGTGGAGTAGAGAGCGGAGCAGTGAATGAAGGCGGCACGGGCGGGGCCCACCCCTCATCGCCATGGTTGCGACCTTGGGTCGTTCTTCCGGTGGACTCATACCACCAAATCCGTAACTGCCGCTGCACATTAATCACTTCCTCCTTGATTTTTCAATTTTAAAATTGAGGCCCCCCCACCCCCGTAAACGCCAATCAGATGGATCGGAATTCCTTAATTATTGCCGAATTATTATGGAATCCTATGGATTGTTTGTCGTACAAAGCCCTTTGGAAACTTCATTTTGCTCAGCGGAGGACATGTGCTGGTTAGTTACATATGGAATTATAAGCAGGAAATCAGCTGCATTTTGCATTCTCGTTAGTAAGATTTTCTTTTTATATAAAAAAGAACCCATATTAGGACCGTTATCTCGTTCTCACCCCACAGATTGCGTATCTTCTGCTTCTTCTTCTTCTTTTTTTTGCTAAACTGTGAAATCATCGAGAAAATCCCAAATTTTTAATATCATTTTTACAGTTTAAGCTTCAAAACCTCCAATAACATGAATATAAATGTTTATCCATAAGATTTTTTTGTTAGTTCATTTGTTTTTTTGTCGCCTTATCAATGATAGTTCAAATGATTAGAGCTTAGCAATCCTTTTTTCAATTTATACTCTCATTTTCCACGTGTTTCCCGAATTGCTAAACGGTGTAATTTTCTTTTAAAAATGTTCCACAGGAATGCTACTTTAAAATTATATTATTTTTTATTTTAGTTAATAATTACTTAATCATGCGCAAATAAGATACATCGTTTTTTTTCGGGAGAAATGGGTTAGCAGCAATGTTGCAAGCTACTACATCCGTTTTAGATTATAAGCTATTTTGACTTTGATCAAAATTAATCTACTTTAAGTTTAATCAAGTTTATACATAAATATACTAATATCTACAACACTAAATTAGTTTCATTAAGCTTATAATTGAATATATTATTATAGTATATTTGTATTGCGTTGAATATGTGACTACTTTTCTAAATTTAATCAAATTTGAAACAATTTTACTTTAATCAAAGTCAAAATGACATATAATCTAAAACAGAGTGAGTATCTCTGTAGGGTGTGTTTGGATAATAGGAAATAGGGAGTGAGATTGGGGAGAATAAATGGTTAGGATTTAAATATGTTTTTAGTAGGTGGGAAATCATTTCCATATCCTATTAGCCAAACACTGGCCTAAGCTAATACCAACATTCTTTAGGAGCTGGATGCAAATTTGGCAGACCAAGTCCAAAACACGACAGCCACCAGCAGCAGCAGGACACCAACGCGACGCCACCACAGTATAACTCGACGCCCCCACTCGCTCTCTCCCCCAACCCAATGACAGCATCAGTATTCCAGTAGCAGCGGAGAGAGAGAGGGAGCGGCCAACCAAAAGCCCAAGCCAAGCCAACGCCGCGTCGCGTCTCAGCCAGCCAGCGAACTGCCTCCCCGCCGCCGCGCTCGCCGGCGAACTCCCCCCACCTCCGGCGGCCCGGCCCGGCCCGGCCCCGCCTCGCTCCCCGGCATCAGGTGATCCCCCCCATCCCCTTCCCCGCCCCCTCCCCTCCCCGCGCGCAGCATTTGCAGATCGCATCTGGCTCGCTGGCCGCCCGGGCCCCGCTCTCGCTTCGCGTGTGATGTGATGTGATGTGATCTCTTCCCCCCATCTCTCGCGGCGGGATTTTCTGGGGGATTTTGGTTTTTTTTTTTTTTTGTTTTTTCTTCTCGGGATTTATGGGGGTTGGATGGGATGAGATCTCGCTGCCAGACTTAGGGATGGAGTACAGCTGAAATGGCGCCGTCGGTGTAGTGTGTGTGTGTGGACAGCGTGCGGCGGTGTGGGGGTAGTTGTGAATTAGCGGTGGTCGTGGCGGCGGATTTGGAGGGGAGATCTAGCCCCCGCTCGGTGCTTCCTAGGTTTGTTTTCCTAGGTCGTGGACGGAATTGAGGAGGTACTGATTCGGATGAGGGTGTCGGTAGAATACGGCGTTCCGGACGACTTGCTGGTTGCTGCTTGTTGTTTCGGGTTGTTGAGTTGACTGTAGCTGAGTTGCTGATCCAGTTCGTTGTGAATTATGCGCTAATGCAGTGGTACTTCTCCATGATGATGATTTTGCCTTTTTGTTTCCCCTTACTATTACATGATTCCTCAGTACAAATGAGCAATCATTCGCTTTGTTTGCTTTGGAGTATGGATATTAGTGGCGGTTTAATTATTGTGGTACACAGTGGTGGAAGGATTGCAGAGTTATATATATACCTGGTGGAATTTGGATTAACGAGAGCTCAATAACAACCACATTGTGGTTGATTTGGTCACCTATAGTTTCCTATGAGCATCTGAGGGCTGACTAATTGCTGGACTTTAGAAATTAGAATAGCTGTTGTTGCTTATTGTATTTACATTGCTGTTGTTATATTGTTCCTATATGGATTTGTAGGCTACAGCTGTACCATATTTTAATTGAAAATGCTCCAATTACTTGTCAGATATGATTCACTAGCTGCATATGAAACTTTAGGAGAGGTCTGAGTTGTACATGGCCTTATTTTTCTACAATTTCTCTGCACAGGTGTGAATATGTCGGACAGTGCGTTGAAAGATCTGAATCTAGCTCAGTCAGCAGAGCTGGAGAAAACCAAGGACAGTTCTGCCAAGTCTTGCATCACCAAGCCTGTCTTGAATGGCAACAAATGCAACAATACGGAAGAAAATGCTCCACCTGTACTCCCTGATGCTGTGACTAATGGGTGTGAAGCTGGAAATGCAGATGTTGAGTATATTGATTCTGAGAGTCTGACAGATCTTGAAGATGCTGGTGCAACCCTTAGTGTATGCCACCAGATGTTTATATTCATGATCTTTTTTGTGCTTGGCATTTTTCTGATTGGACCAGCCCTAACATTTGATCATTTCTTACTGCTTGATAGACTTTAGTTGCAAGGTTGGATTCAAAAGACTGGGTTATGACATGTGAAGCTCTAAATAATGTTCGTCAGTTGGCAATATTTCACAAGGATAGATTGCAGGAACTTCTGTAAGTTGCTTACCTTGTTATTCAATCAAAAGGATCTTTGTTTTTGGGCAAATGTTACTTATCCATGCCTGAAGCTATAGAATTACATCATTCTCTGTATCTTAATTTTTGGATTTGAATTATAGGGAACCTCTAGTTCCTCTTATCATGAAATCTGTCTGAAGAAATTCATTCTGTTTTTTTTATTGGACCCAGGTTTATTCTCTTCGATTGCTTGTATCTCAAAACACTCAAGAATCCAAGGAGTGCTGCCTGTAAAGCTGCACTCATGACCTGTTCTAATCTTAATTTTTGGATTTGAATTACAGAGAGCCTCTAGTTCCTCTTATTGTGAAATCTGTCAAGAATCCAAGGAGTGCTGTCTGTAAAACCGCACTCATGACCTGCGCTGATATTTTCAAGGCATACGGTGACCTAATGGTTGACTCAATTGATCCACTGGTGTGTGTTTCTCAGTTCTCAAACTTCCATTCACAATTACACTAGTTCTTTTTCCTGTACTAACTACGCTATTTCTCAAAACATCTTTTCTGCCAAATTTGTTCTCAGTTAGTGCAGCTATTTCTGAAATCTTCACAAGATAAGCGTTTTGTCTGTGAAGCTGCTGAGGCAGCCCTCATATCGATGACAAGCTGGATCGCCCCTTCTGCTCTGTTGCCAAAAATGCAACCTTACCTTAAGAACAGGAATCCACGAATTCGAGCAAAAGCATCAATGTGCTTCAGCAAGAGCGTCCCAAGCTTGGTAAGTGAAAATCTCACCTGAAATTTATTTTAAGCAAACCGCTTTTGTTTTGCCTCAACTGTTATCTGATTATCTCCTAATTAACCTAGGAGAGGCCAAAGACAAACTCAACATAGGATTTAGCTCTCTTTTCTCACATTACAAGTACTCAATGAATATCTTAATTCGTGGTCTTGTTGGTTGGCTTAGAGTTAACACACAGTTTTCTCGACCTTTTTTAGTCTATTTAGATATGCAGATGCGGGATGAGGTTTCTGTATTATAAGACAGACCTGTAGCTTTTCCAAAACTATGGGCTAGTGTGTTTGGTAGAGATTCTATATGCCGAGAATAATTAGCTGACAAATGATTTTTACCTGTGGCCTTTTACTTCGAGGAACTTCATCTACCCTAAATTGCCTGGCCATTATTAGTAGTGTGACGGTATCTGGAATTTTTTTTTCTTAATTGGCTTTTATGTAGTTTGTATATCAATGGTTCCATGCTCTAACCAATGCTGATAACATCAGTTTTAGATGTTTTACTTAAATTGACCTATTTTGTTTCCAGGGTGTGGAGGGAATTAAAGAATATGGAATGGATAAGCTTGTTCAGATCGCAGCAACTCAGCTTAGTGACCAGCTTCCTGAATCCAGGGAGGCTGCTCGCAAGCTGGCTTTGGAGCTACAAGCATTCTATGAGAAATCCCAAGCTTCGAGTTCTGGTGAAGTTGACGACGCACCTGCTACCTCACCTGATGCTGATGCTGATGCTGGTGCTGAATCATGGGAAGCTTTCTGCCAATCAAAGCTTTCCCCATTAAGTGCACAGGCAATCCTTCGTGTCACCTCTACGACGAAAGAGGGTGTGGCTGTGGGTGTCACCTCTACCCCTCCGAAAGAAGGCGTCACTGTTGGTTGCTAGCATCAGGAGGTAGTAGATGCAATGAGGTTGTGGTTTTTCCATCCGATTCACCTTTTGCTGTACATGGTTATGGTTGTTCTTTCTCTACATCCAATCTGGGATTCGTTCGTTAAGCATCGGTTCGAGAGTTGAGGTGTGACCTGTGGGTGTTAATATTGGTGCGAGATATACCTGTTATAGTTGACCGTATGATCTTCCTTTTCTCCCACTGCTTGGTATTGATTGGTCAGGCGAATTGTAGAATTTCTTCCACTATTCAATATTACTACACAGTAATTTTTCCATCTCGTGGCCTTGTGTTTATTTGCTGGTGTTCACTATTTCGTGTTTTTGAATTCTAACTTCTTCCATTATTCAATATTATCGAATCAATTCTCATCAGTGCTTTCTTCCACTGGTTTCTATTTTACTGAAATTTTTATGCTGTTCTATGAGCAAGAAATAACTAACTGGGCTCAACCAACTGGTACTCCAAAGAACTGTGACTTGTGAAGTTTGATCACTGTACAGTTGTACATATGTCACAGACTCATAGTACACGTTAAACATCAGAGAACCCCAGATTATCACAGCTGCACGAAGATTAAGATGATCATGTATGCATGCGTCGCCGGCAACACATTCTGTGCACAGAGAAAAACTTGGACAAGAACATGCCAACAGCTAGCCCATCAGCCGGCGATCACCGCCGGCGACCGGCCTTGCCGCACCGGACGCTCAGCCAACGATCATCGGCGGCGGCGTCGCCGGAGCAACCAGCATGAGGTGCGCCGCCGGGTGCAGCCTGAACACCAGGCCGCCGGCGCACCCGACCGTCCTCTCCTCGGCCATCTCACGCTCGATCCTCGCCAGGACGGCGACGAACTCGCCGGCGTCGCAGGGGAGCTCGAGCGGGCCGTCCGCCACGTACCCGTACTCCTCCTCGGCCTCCTCCAGCAGCGCCCTGAACAGCGGGTGGTTCACGCACTCCGTCCTCACCACGAACCTCTCCCTCGCCGCCCCTCCGCCGCCGCCGCCGCCGCCGACGTACACCGCGAAGCTCCCCTCCGGCGGCTCCGGCCAGCCACCATTCCTGTGCTTGGACAAACACCTGTCCAGCAGGGCCTTCATGATCACTCCCTGCTTGTTCCTCACACCTCTCTCCTTCATCAACACAACAGCAAATTAACCAAAGCTTATCTGAACACAACTATCCTATCTAATTTACAACTTAGTGAAGGTTGGGTTGTATTAATTAGCTGATCAAGTGTTGCTAATTGCTATGGCCTTGTCCTTAAGTGACATCAGATCAAACTGAGATAAGATGGTTAGTGATCAAAGTTTTGGGAGGGGGTCAGCTAAGACCTGGCCTGAAGAAAGAGTGTTGCACTTGCACCCCTGCACCATATATAGACTGTACTGTGTGGGGCCTTCATTTTATTTTAATTATTTGGTGTGTGTGACAATTAGGAGTAAGATTGTATATTTGGTGTAGATGATGAGATCCTGTGGGTCTTTCCTAATCCTACCCATCATTAGATATTTAATCCATGGTTAGGTTAATTTTTACCATCTTGTCCTCATATTGCACAAGGGACCTGTTCTTGACAAGGGTTGTGTTGGCAAGATGGCACCATGTTTTGTGAAAACCAGATTATATTGCAAGGGTAAGTTAGTAATTTCACATCACGTTGAAGACCTTTGTGTACTTGACCGTGGTACCGGTTCAAAGTTTAGGATGGAATTGACAAAACTGAAAATTTGTTTAGTGTGAAGCTAAAATGGCTAATGCGAAACCAGAGGTTGGACAGGATTCCACCATCTCATTGTCAACCCACTTAATATCCAATGTCATCAGGGCAATAATACACATGTTAGTATAAGATCATAAGAAAAATGTCACTTTATTGGTTGCAAGTTGACTTGGAGCTCTGCATCGGTCAGCAAGTTTAAGTGAAACTCTCCAACCATGACTAGTTTACTCTAATGAATTTCCTTCTTCAGAATCTGCCTTTTCATTTCTGTCAGCTTGCATCGAGATCTGTCTGAAGGATTCAGAGAACGGCACATCGACATCCTAAATCTGCCCAAGGGTTTAACACCTAGATCAGTGCATGTCTTAATCCTGTGAGATTAGTTTAGAATTCTTGTCTTGATTAATGGTGCTCTAATGACACCTTGACCGACAATGAGCACCACTTGTCTTGATTTCTGTGGTGCAAAATGATACTAACAAACAATAGTAAAGTAAGGGTTAATTTGCGAGGTAGAGTAAAAGATTGTTCGAACAAGACATTGTTTAGATTAGATAAAATCATAAAATACAATTCATTTCGTCGTTTAGCGTGCTAGTCTACTTCACCTTCCATCATCCGCTCAACGGTGAAATTTTTTTATCGCCCAAACCAGCTATTATTACCGCGGAATTGCGTATTCTACTCTATCTTTGTCAAATCACTCCACGATAATATGCTTGTTAATTCACCTGGTAATGCTGTCTTTTATTAATTTGGAAGGTTGGACCCCCTACTGCAAATCTGCAATGATGCAGATTTTTCCTGCGTGCTGAATTTTGTGCTCTAATGGTGGATTGTGATAGCGATTTGCACCATTTTGTGCGAAGAACTTACATGAATCAGATAGATGAAAAACCTCGAGCTGTCAGATGATGCTGGAGAGGCATATGCTATTCTCCTGAAAGCTCAACTGCCTGAAGTCTGAACTCTGAACATGTTGTTCAGTTGGCCTCGTTTTCTCACCTTTGCTGGAACAGGGGTAAATAAATGGTGACGAATTGATACCAGAAGAAAGTGTGGTAATTAATTAATTAAAAAGCATAATTAACAAGCTCAAATCACGATGCTCAATATAATAATTACTCTTTTTTTTTGTTCTTCCTCGAACTCGAAGAACGCACACCGTCTCCCTCTCGACTGTGACTCTCCCCGTGTTTGGGCCGCACGAAATCGAGATCAGAATCCGTTCCGGCCCAATGAGTAGCATGGGCCGCACATAAGTCTAATCCTACTCCTTTGCAGAAGAGCGTTCCACCACCGCGTCCGACCGCCGACGCGACCGGCGGCGACCCTCCCTCTTCAGCCGTTCGCCGGACTTGCGGCCAGACAGATCCCCTTCGCCGCCGGGAGCAAGATCAGGCGGTGTCCGCGGCGGGGCTCGTCGGGATCTGCCCCCATCCATGGTCGCGCGGCGCCGCTTCTGACTGCTCCGCCCCCGCGTTGATGCGCTGCCCGCGGCATCGAGCCGCAAGGTAATTCCTCGTCGGAGCCCTCCTATTCGCAGCAAATTAGACAAGCAGATGTTCATCTAAAGCGTTGGGGGTTAGAAATTTCGGAAACTGATTGGTCTCGTAAAGCGTCTCCCTCCCCAGACTCCAGAGAGTGATGGGATTTGGGGGGGGGGGGATGATTATGCTGTACAGGAGTAGTTTGATAGCAATGTTAGTGGTAGAAGTGAATAATCTTGTATGGTCTGATGTTGTGTTTGCTGGGATGTTGCATAATGGTGTGTCTCTTTTTTTTTACTGCTTGTGTAGGTTTTTGTCATATTAATCATGGTGCTTAGCAAGGTTGAAGTGAACTTGATAAGGCTGCTTGAGGCAGCTCCTCGACAGCAGAACCAGACTAAGCTTGTCCATGTAAGTGTACCTCGTACGGTTTTTTCTTAGATACGAATTTTTCCATCATGCTTTGTTTATGTTAATAGGCTAATTATATACCTTTAGTTAGGAGAACAAAGAATCCCTCAAGTGAGTATTTTTGTGTGTGTGTTGAAAGTAAGAAGGGAATATTTCTGGATTACCTCATGTGTTTCAATTTTAGCACTTACTAGTAGCTAATGCATGTTCTTTTTAATCTTCTTCTCTATCATTTTGAATGGAATCTGTGGTTGCACTGAGATTCTCCAATCAACTGCAGTATGTAACCACAGCCAGGGAACTGTTGGAGCAGCTAGGATCAGAAACTACTCTAGAAGGGATATCAAGGTATTCATTCATGTTTTATTTGTTCTCTATAGCACTACACATATCTTTGGGAATATCGACATGTTGGCTGTAGTATAATCTTCAGTCTGTGACCCAGCTATAATCTGTTGAGCATCCATACTTAAAAAGCACTCCAGTTAGTATATGACAAGGCAAAAACCACCAAATCTCTGATCCAATATAAAACTGTTATAGGTGAATCTGATCTCTAGATCCTACACTGTATTTCATGACACTAATATGACCAATTCAGTGAATTGTTTTTTTTGTTAAAAGACTACTGGATGCTAATTTTGTTTACATGATGCTGCTAGTTTGCTTTGGTGGATGGTGTGTTCATACTTTCAACCTCTGTACATGAATGAATCAGGCATAATCTACTGTAATACTATTCAATGAGCGCAAAAATTTGATGCACTAACTACTTAGCTACACGTATCTTAAGTTAGTTCCTAGTCAATAATTGATCTTCTTCTACTAGTATAATTCTTTAGTATGCACCATGCTTTCCCACATGATAAATACTCTGTGGGAGAGCATTGCATATTTTGTAGCTCTGTTTTCATTTGGTAGCAGTTGTTCTTGAAAATCTCAATACTCCTTTAAAGATATGCTTTTCTGTGCGTGAGAAAAGAACAGTTATATGAATGTTTACAACGTAAATTTTAGTCACCTTCCTTCATTTTGATGAACCTCAGTTTATTATGTAGATTCCTGGATTTTTGCTACCTTTTCCATTAGCAATCTTATACCTTGTTTAATTGTCCTGTTACCCAGTGGAGCAGAGCAAGCATTTACCTACATTGAGTTTTCTTTTTTTTTTTGTGTTACTTGTGTAATATAATATTTTTCCCCATGATCAAACGATGTTCATTCATGAATTTCTTCTTTGTCCAGTGTATCAAAAGCTAAGACAAGTGAGTATTCAGAAAAGATTGAAGCATTGGCTGCCCGGCTTGCTGCTCCAGAGGTATGCTGTTGTCGTGCTAATATCTTAAATTCCTCAATTGATACTTCAGTTCTTTTTTTGGGTGTGGGGAATAGTTCAATTGAATGCAAAACCACCAACTGCAGCATATGGTTTACTTAGTTTTTTCTTCAAACAAAATCAACTTACTTTTCAGAACATATGCAGCCACAATAACTCAGATGGATTATACTTTTGTTTGATTTTTCTTTTGTTCAGCCAGAAAATGAAATGCCAGTTGATGAGAATAGAGAGGTAGAAAGCTCTTATGAAGGAGATAAGCCAGGAAGTCCAATATCATTATCATCAGGATTACGTAGGAGACCAATGTAAGTTTTAAAATTTGTATGTTTCTTTTTCATAATTATTACAATTAGCGAGCTAATAATGGATGTAAATTGAATAGAGCTCACAACGTTGTTGGACCTAGCAGTCATGAGAGAAAAGACAGAGACATTGGAGCACCTATTAAATTGGATGAAGAAGCACAGGCTCATATTGAGAAGCATAGGTACATTAAACTCTTCTGTATCGGCAAAGTTCTTTCCTTTCCTGGTCTCTGGTTTAGCTTCTGCGTTATTCTTAGCGGCAAATTCCCTTGTTATTTTCTAAACTCATCTTCTAACCGCACAGGAAGCTGCAAGAAGATCTGACTGACGAAATGGTTGAGTTAGCGCGCCAACTGAAAGAGAGCAGTCTCACCATGCACCAATCTGTTCAAGAAACAGAGAAGGTAGTATGCTTCTTTCCTTCACCTCTTTTTCCTGCAGCTATGGTATGTTGACATTGGCAACTGTTTGGGTAGATCCTTGATTCCACCGAGAGAGCTGTCGAGCATAGCTTGGCGAGCACTGGGCGTGCAACCACGCGAGCAGCAGAGGTATACTCGTTGGCTTCCAAGACGACATGCTTCCAGTGGCTGCTCATCTTCATGATGACCTGCATGTTCATTATGGTGGTTCTGCTCATCCGGGTCACCTAAAATATTGTAATTGGTGTTGTTTGAGACTGACTGATTGAGTTTTGTATTCAGTTGTGACAATGAGCATGAACGGAAACGAAGTAAAAAAAAAAGTTTGGAGAACCTCTGCCCCTTGGTTGTCACCGCAATTCCTTATCCAGTTTTCACATAAATATACTTGCATTTTGGATATTTATATGCAGTATATTTTCGGTGCAAATTAGATTATGGCGCTGCTTATTTTGGCTCTGACGACTCTGTGTTGCCGAAGCACATGCATACATTACAAACTGCATATGAAATGCATATAGTACTATAGTAGCACTTTCTCAGTTTTATGTTATAAGACTTTCATTGGTTTCATATTATAAGACTTTTATTGACCACATTCATATATATATACGTTAATGAATCTAGACACACACGTATATAGAGTCATTAACATTTATATAAATGTGGACAATGCTAGAAAGTCTTATACTCCCTCCGTATTTTAATGTATGACGCCGTTGACTTTTTGATAAACGTTGAACTTTCGTCTTAATCAAAAAATTTATGTAATTATAATTTATTTTATTGTGATTTGATTTATCATCAAATGTTCTTTAAGCATGACATAAGTATTTTTATATTTGTATAAAAATTTTGAATAAGACGAGTGGTCAAACATTGATTAAAAAGTCAACGGTGTCATAAATTAAAATACGGAGGGAGTAGTAGTGTAGTGCCCTTTTTAACGTGGATGGGCTGAAAAGCCCATAAAATTCACGTGGCCCATCAAGTCACCATCAATCCATCTCCAATTCTCCATCTCTCGTGCGGCTGTGGCGTTGAGCTGAGAAGCTGAGCACCCAAAAAGCAGCGCGCGCGCGCCGGCCCTAGCCACGACGCACCGCGCGCGCCGGCCGCCGGCGAGGCCCACGACCGCCGCCGCACGCCTTTGGCCAGATCGCGCAGGCGAGATCCTCCTATGGCCGCCTCCGTAGCGCCAGCGTCGTCGTCCGGCTGGGACTTCACCTGGTGACTCTCCCTCTCCCTCTCCCTCTCCCTCTCCTTCCGAATGGTGACGATTTGCGCGGTCATATTTTTTTTCAACGATTCGTGCCTTCTCGATGAGCAATTTCGGATGATATTTCTCCTACCGGAGTGCATATGCTGCTGTGGTGCTGTGCTATCCCCGTGTTGCTTTCACCTGCGCTCGTGGTGTTCGACGAATTGCCTAAAAGAAGCATTTGCTACTGTTTATGCTTTCTTTGGCTAGGCAGCGGTTTCATTTCAGTTTCCCTGCCTATCAATGTGTTGCGCATACTTCCTTATACCTTTTTTTTTACCCCCAAATTCATGCAAATTTGAGACCTATTGATACTATGATACATAGTATAGGGCAATGACTGCTATTTTCGAAGCATTTTGAACTGAATCGGTGGGAATACCTGATTATTTTCATGGAGTAAATATCCTGTCGTAATTGGTAAAGCTATTATTTTGCGAGGGTACGCAAAGCTTTGTTCTCAATGTAAAGCCACGAACTGATGGATCATTAAATAAACCACTTCCATTGGCGACATTTAGTTTCTTAAGAGTTAAGACTGGAAGCCAGAAATTCTGTAATAATTTATCGTAGTGTTCAGAGTTCAGACAACACAGAAGAAATGAAAGTGTGCAGCATCTGTTAGGAAGTTACAATGATGTCCCACTGACGCACAAGCAAATTTGCTGGGTTATGGAAATTAGAGCAGAATAGTGATTTTATCGTTTGACCATATAGTGTTATTAAATGATGTATTTTCATGAGCGAATGATCAATGCCAAAAAAAAATAGCTTAAAAACTTGTGGCGAATGGCTGTTTCATGGCTATAGTCTCACAAACCCAGCCTTGCAGAAAACTCTTGGAGCTAGTAGTAATCAACTTGATATATGTTGCTTTTATGCATACTGAATCATCTGCTACCTTTAATCATCCTGTTCCTCAGACATTGCTACTTACGCATAGTATTGCATCAACTATGTAGCTCATATGTAGAGAAAATTTATCTTGCACTAACAACCTTTTTGTATGGCAGTGACTTTGAAATTGATTATGGATCCGAGGAACGCGCATCCATAGTTTACAAAACGCTAGCTGTTGATAAGGAGGTAAGAAGTTATAGTACACTTTAACATGGTTCTTGTTTTCATAAGGAGTCCCAATGTTTCCTCTTTTCTTCATGCTAGCTTGTTGAGAAAAGAACTCGAATCCTGTGGTATTTATCTTGCAGTTGCAACCTGACAAGGTAAAGAGGGAGATGTCTGTTTCTGGTGGCAAGCTCGTCGTGTCAGTAAATCCATTCTTAACAATTGCTATCGATTGTGTTTACTTTGATTCACGATGTGTACTGATACAAAATTTTCTGAATCTAATTCAGGCACTTTGAAGCTGTAGAGGCTCGGTTCCTGCGAGCATCGTTCAGCGCGTTCGTCGATCTTACAGTACTGGTTACCAAGCTTGTTGAAGAATATGGCATCAGCAAGGAAGGAGAAGGCAGTATCTAGCTAGTTTTACTCCCCTGTATCTTAGAAAAATGTTTTACAACACCTTTGAGCATTCATACCTTCTTTTATATCATATTATGTGTGTTCTTCGTTTCTTAGGCCAGAAATCTACAAGATAGAAGCAGCTGTTGTAATTCCAGATTTCTTGAATCTTGGTATGGGATTTGCCTCTCAAGAGTAACTCTGAACATACTTGGTTGGGATAGTAGTCAGTTCTTGTCGCCTTAAATGAAAAATCATGCATGTATAGCTCACTGTATTATATAACCTGATAATGATGATGATGAATCGTAAAAAATGGACGGAAATCCAAGAATGCTTCGTAAATATATGTAGCTGAAAATAAATTGACTCGGATAAAGCTAGGAAAAAACAGAAACAAAGTCTCCCCTCATTAATTAATTTAGTAGGAAGAGAAGATGACAAGAGTGCTATCTCATTGATAGAAAAATAGAATTGGCGGAATATTACTCCCTCCTTCCCTAAATATTTTTGATGCCGTTGATTTTTTTTAAACATGTTTGATAATTCGTCCTATTAAAAAATTTAAGTAATTATTAATTCTTTTTCTATCATTTGATTCATTATTAAATATACTACTACTATAGTTTTTAATAAGACGAACGGTCAAACATATTTAAAAAAAAATCAACGGCGTTAAATATTTAGGGACGGAGAGAGTATTACCCAACAATACAATTAAACACGACGTACGCACGATCATTAGACTCAATTTAAATTACGACAATACAATTAGCCAGTCTCTCATAGCCGACCGATCAGCTAAGCGACATACACGCGTACATGCAACTAAATTTAAATTACGACACACACAAAACCTAGACACACAGCAAACTAAATTTAAATTGCGACACACACACAGAAACGAACCTTAGCTAGCTCTCTCCAACCTCACTAAATTGAACATGACACGAACACACACAATTAGTACAGCTACATAGTACTACGCTACTACTCCTATATGGGACACAGGTGCATGCGTGGCACGGATCGATCACACTAGAAAATGATCGAACTACGAACGTCGGCCTGCAGGAGGTATCTTCCTGGGCGGCGTAGCGTCCCTGGGGCTGTCCGACTTGATGGAGCACAGCTCGTCCGAATCCTCGCCATCTGAAGTCCGAGTGATGATCAAGTCGTCTATGTCCAGATACATCGGTGGGAGATCTGCAAAGTTTATTAACTTTACAGCAATTAATGCATGCAATAATCAAGTAAGCAATTGAAGCTATGGCAATAATGCAAGAAATCAAGAATCAAGAAGAAGAAGAAGAAGAAAGCTAGAAGTTATATACCGTGTTTCTCCCTCTCTCGTTGTGTTTCACTCACGCTCTGCTGCTTCTGGGATGATGAGGATCCCTGACTTTGCTCACCTTCACCTCCATGCTGCTCCCCGGTGCCCTTCTTTCTACCAGACTTGAGAGCTACCCTGTGGGCCGCTAGATTTCCTGTAGGTTCCACAGCCAACTCACAGGAATATTAATTTTCTTGACGGGGTTACTTATACCCACAGAAAAATTGTGTTATTTTTGTAGGTTTTCACACAGACCCACAGAAAAATAGCGCTGACAAGTAGGCCTCAAGAACCATCAAATAAAACTCAGGCAGCCAAGTCCCAAAACCTAATTCCCCACCCCTCTTCCCAAACCCTCGAGCCGTCGCCGCCCCTCTATTCTCTCCAGATCCACATGGCGAGCGCCTGTGCGATACCTTCGACGAACGGCGGGTCGGCTACCGAGCCTCCGCCCAGCGCCATCGGCAAGATGCAGCCGACCATCACCACCATCTCCTGCCGGCGACGAGCTTCCACCATCCCCTCCACTGCCGGTGCTAGCCACCCCAAGGCCCAAGCTCAGAACCTCTAGATCTGGATGCCCCAACCCTGGGAACCACGGATCCAGCCGTATCGAGTGTGGGTGCTCCAGATCTCGCGGTTCTCGGCTCCGGCAGCGCCGGCAGGAGAATGGGCGCTGCCCCTCCTTCCCCTCCTCTTCAGTAAGTAAAAGCATCCAAAAATATGTGTTTCAATGGTGAGGAAACGGTTTGGAGCACCTCTGTCCATGCTAGCATGTGTTTCCGCTGCTAATCCCAAACACCGATTTGTTCAGATAGCCGCCGGCGGAGATTTCTGGGAGTTCAATTTAATCTGCTCCAAAGTTGCAGCCAACCTTTCTCCTTCGGGATGAAAAAGTGTAAGTCATACTAGTTTACACTTGTGGATTATTTTGGCTTTGATCTGTATTACGTGACTGCCCAGTAGTAGATCTAGATTGGGTTATTGGCCCTTGACCACAAGTTTAATGATTGTCAGTGGAATGTCAGTAGATCTAGATTGGGTTCTTGTGTCAAAACCTGCGTTGCTGCATTCATCAACTAATCTAGATTGGATTAGTTGATCCATTACTGTTGTTGCCAATTATTATTTTTTCTCAGAGCTCTGATTCCCAGATATTAAGCAAGACAAGTTGGTTCCCATATTGTCTACATTATGTGATTTAGTTTCTATAATAGAAATTTAATTTTCTTGGATTACTTACTCCTAGAGTATAATATTTATTTTACATCTAAATAATTTGTTTCTTGTTTCAGCCTTCTAAGACAATTATGTCTGGACCAACTAATTTTCCTCTAGCCATTTTGTGAAGACCTAATGTTGTGGCATGACAGATTGACAGGTACTCCCACACTAGAGTCCCTGCTATTCATAAAACTTTGTTTGTGTCTGGTACTGAGTTGTTTGACATGGAATTAATCTATCAGTGGATTATCATGCACTATGCTTTCTTGGTCACATTTAGTTAGAATGCAGATGCTTTTCTTATGCTATTTTTACCTTGCAATTCATGGTAAGGATTGTGTGAATAATGAGTATTATAGTGTTTTATTTTCTCTGTTTTAGTAGCTAAGAAAACATATTTTTAGCTTAGGTTGTATGCATGAAATCATTAGTGCTTTCTAGTCTCTACTAGTGCATATACATACTTCACAAGTCCAAGTCCATGTATATCTTTTGGCAAGTCACATACTGCTACATGTGTTGGATAGATACATGCCATCAGAACAATAAATTAGTTTCAGTCTCTTGTTTTTAAAATTTTCTTATGTACAAACCCTTTATAATTTACCTTGTTCATGGCACTTTGTATTTTTCTTAACAGGCCATAGCTTGAATCTTTAAGTGCTGCAGTTAAATATCTACAGAACGTTGCACATGATGAAAATCAAGGTATGCTTCTCATTCAGTGGATGAAATCTTTCTTAGTCTAAGATGTCCTAGCATTTGCACCATGAAACTTGTCATTTAAGCATCCATAGAAAATGAGTTTGATCCTATTATCCTAGCATTTATGTCTTATCTGAATTGGCAGAGTACCACAGGAAGTATTTTCATGGTCACTTTTCATTTCAGTTGCCATATTTCATTTTCATGCTTTGTAGTTGACAAATTTATGTTGCTCACTTCAGTTTTTCCTGTACTAATCTATTTGTTTCTCTATAACTGGGGTATTCAGAATCATTGTTATTTATTTTGTAATGAAGAAAATTATGAAATTGAACCTCTTTTTTAAAACCTTTTAGCTTCCTTTGCCCAAGGTTGAAGCACCGCGGAACACGGACTGCTGCTGGAAGACAATGTTCTTTTACATATGTTTGATGAATTGTAACTGAACACATTTATCTTTTCTATGGACCCTTTGTATATTACTAAATCCAGTTTGAATGAATTTGTATGTACTGAACTTAGATGGACTATTTATGTAAGCTTTGCAGACTTGAATTTTGATGTATGGATTGTGATTGATGTTCATATATTTATCCAAATCACCATGTGTTTTTTTTTTGGGCGTGGAACTCATTTTTTCTGACGGTGGATGATGGTTTTTCCTGACGGGTCCACGTCAAAAATAAGCTTTCACAAACCTGACGCCAGTTGATTTTTTTTGTGAGCCAACCGACAGGAATTCCCGACAGAAATGATATTTCTGTCAGGAAAACGACAGAAAAATTTATTTTCTCCGTGGTCTTTTTTCTGTCGGCAAACTCTGACGGTGCACCCATAGAAAAGTATTTTCTGACGGTAATTCATATTATTCTGACGGTTTTCGGCCTACAGGGTAGACCTCTTGATCTTCTTTTTCTTCTCATCATCCTCCTTCTTGTCTTCCGACGACTGTGGCCGCTCAGCACGGTTCTTCTGCCTGTCCATTGGAGCTTAATTTGCTAGCTAACTAATAACTATAGATAATAGCTAGGCGCTGGCTAACTCGATCGAAAAGACACTACGCCAGATCCTCACACCTCTGACGGGATACCTGTGACGGGCAAACGAATTGGTCAGTAGTGACCATTACCTTTGACGGGTTATACGGGATGCCGTCACCGGTGAGGCATCTGGCCGCGGCCCGTCACAGGTATCCCCTCACCTGTGACGGGCCGAAAGGAAAACCCGTCAGAGGTATACCAGTGACGAGTTTTTCTTCCAACCCGTCACTGGTATCCCCTCACCTGTGACGGGCCGATACATTAGAAGCCGTCAGAGGTGATGGGCCGCCACCTGTGACGGCTTTCATTTCTGGCCCGTCACAGGTGAGCGGATACCAGTGACGGGCCGTTGAATAGAAGCCCGTCAAAGGTATGAGCAATACCTTTGACGGGCTTTTTTTATCTAACCCGTTTGAGGTGTGTTGGCTCTATAAATACCCCCAAACTGCCAACTGCTTTCCATCCCGACCATTGTACTGTTCACAAATCGGTTGGGAGGGCAAGGGGGGTGATTTTTTGCTAAAATTCAAGGTAAAAAACACATTATTCTCCATTCATTCTCAACATATCGATCATCATTTATTTTTCTTCGTATGTTGTTGATTTCAGATGGATCGTAGATGGATGTACTATGCGCATCGTTCGTCTACCGAGTATAGAGAGGGGGTCACTGAATTTGTCACATTTGCGGATAATGACAGAAAAAGTAGGATGAGCATGCACATGTTGTGCCCATGTAGGGACTGTAAGAATGAACAGATGATCGAAGACAAGGATGAAGTGCATGCTCATTTGATAATGAATGGATTCATGAAGAAATATACCTGCTAGACCAAGCATGGAGAGCAAGAGGCGCCTGATGTCGCAGCTGAAGAAGTGTTGGATCAGGATGTAGAGAACACCGCCGCAGCTCGAGAAGGCATGTTCGTACCTTCTCCTTTAAGTGGAGAGACCATAGATTTGGA